CCAGCTACAGCTGGGGTGGTGCTGTCCTCTCATTTTTGTACAGGCAGATGTGTCGGGCTTCCATGGGCACACAGAGAGACGTTTGTGGCTTCCTGCCGCTTCTACAGGTGACAACATATTCAACGAATATGTCCGTTAGTTACAATTCTACCTAGTTATAGTTTATCTGACACTATACATCAACTTTCTATGTTAGGTTTGGGTCTGGGAGCGATTTCTGCAGCTTCGGCCACCTCTACCACAGCTACCGGCTAATGTAGACATTCCGAATCTCCCTCTAGCTTGTAGGTGGGTTATGCGTCGTAGACTTGCACGCGAGTATGATGCCCATCATAATCTCCCCCGCATCAGGGATGTGTTGGATTTGCTGGAGGACGCACAGGTGAATATCTAACTAAACTTACCAGTTATTGTTTAATTTAGTGTTGCGCATACTAACGGTTTGTGTTGTTATTTGATAGTTCATCTGGACGCCGTACAGCGAGGAGGTGATAGTTACCCTGCCAGCGTATTGTACGTTCGGCCGACATATTTGGAGGGCTTCTGTACCTTTCACATGCCTCGATATTGTGGAGCATCATGCCTCAGAGCGGGTTTTTCGTCAGTTTGGCCTTCCGCAGCCTATACCGACTCCGCCTGCATGGCATCCTTTACATTATGAGAGGGATGATCGGTCCAGGGTGGACGACACATTTATTGACTGGCTTAACGCCCAGCTGGCTATTTGGGACAGGCGAGGTGACTTAAACCCACCTCCGCAGCACTTTCCTATTGAAGGTTATATGGCATGGTACCGCACTGTTTCCCGACTTTTTATCGGGAACCCAGTTCATCAGGCAGAAGGTCGGTACGTCTCATACGCCGGGAGACACGAGGCTCTGGTATGTTTTCTGTTATAATTAATTATATACCTGTAATTTCGTGCCAAATACGTAGTTTAAATTCTTTACCTTTGTGCAGGCGATTGGATTGCATACCGTCTATCGTATGGGGTAGCAGATGCAGAGTTATGTCCACGATCCTGTGGTCATGCAGGACTATAGCCGTCGATTCATGGATTTGGCTGCCCAGACACTGCAGCGAGCCTGATCGGATCAGCGTTTAGCACACGAGGCTGATTATATTGACCCAGCCACGTAACAGCGAGGTCGTGGTATCCCACGAGGTGGTGGTGCCCGAGGAGGTGGTGGTGCCCGACGAGCTGCTGGTGCCCGACGACCTCGTGCTGCCCGAGGAGGTGGTGTTCAGCAGGGGGGCCATGATGCTCCTAACGATGATGTTGCTGCTGATATGACAGGTGCATGCATGAGACTGACATGCCATCTTACAGCCTGAGAATTTTTGACACTCCAGTGCCATCACAGATGACCCCATCGGGTCAACTATTGATCACGGGCTCGGATTTTCAAGGAGCTGAGTGGGGTAGATATTTCCCTGGCCCGTCTACCACTGATGAGGGTCGACCGACCCGAGATTTATTTAGTGGGCTTCCGACTGAGTTATGGCAGCTCTTCACATGCGCAGGTATGAGTTTATTAGTATTGAATTTGAATTTGTTTTAACTATAACTTATTTATTTTGTTACACTATATTAATTTCCTTATTTCAGGCTTCATGTGATGCTGCGACAGATGACTACATTCAGGATCCAGACACGATTATGGTAAGATAATATAAATTGTTATGAATTATTTATGAATTATTATGTAGTTTTCTAAACTAAGTTTTATATTATTATGTAGCATTCTACTGGACCTGACAGCACCATCGATACATGTCATCCTACGCCGCATCCGGCTATAAGGAGAAAACATGATGATGATGATCCTGATAGCGTACCCGGGCGGGAGGGGATACGCCTCAGGCCGACGGCTACAATGAGACACACCGGATGCGGGACACATTGAGTCGGCCTTCCTTTTTTTTATTTGGTGTAAATAATATTTTTGTACATATTAACAACAATATTTAATTGAATATATCCATTACTTTTTTTAGTTCTCCATGTGTTTTATTGTTTCGTATAACAACACAAGCATTTAAACTTAAATGCCACTAATTAAAATAAATTGCAGTACAACAAACAAGGAAAACATAACAACAACACAAACACAAACATAACATGCCAACATAATAAAAATACATAAAATATGAAAAATACACTAAGCACATACAGGCCATTGTTTAGTCCCGGCTGCCATTTATTCTCCCCTCCAACCACTTAAATCGTTGTTCCATTTGTTCTTTTTCTTCTTCTAACTCTTTCACTCTCGCCTTCACCTCCGCAAGTTCCCGTTTATATTTATTTTTACGTTCCTTCTGTGCTTCACAATTCCATTCTGCTCTCCATTTTTCATCTCCTACCTGCTTTAGTTTCTCCCTCATTTCTGTAATAATTCTATCGCTTTCTCTTTGTACTCCCAGTTGGCATAACCACTTATTATGAAGAGATTGCAGTTGTTCTCTGTAGCATTCCTGATAACATGGTTCATCAACCCATTCATC